ATCCGGGTGTCGTTCTATTAGAGGTTTTACGGTAACTTATTTTGAAAAACTCTTTGAGCCAAAAATAGTTAGGCACCCAGAAGCTGAGATAATTGAGGTCGAAGAAAAGAAGCACGCACAAAAATAAATTTCCAGCTGACACGCTACTTCTCAATACCACAGCAGCATGGTCCGAACAAACTGGAATTCTGGTTTGTTTCCCCTAAATTTTCAAAGCATTCTGACAAGTTCCAGATGTTGTTTTCGCAGCTACGGATTTGAAAAATATACAGTACCCGCTTTCATTTTTTAAATTTTTTTTTGAAAATGGCCAACTTTTGATGTCTAAAAAACATCTATTAGATTTTGTTGGATATGCCTGAAAACTTCAGGTTGTACTAACCAAAAATAGTGCTTCAATTTTGTAGTTGACAAGTTTTTGGGAAAATTTGAACCTGAGGAGATATGCCACGTCGAAGAGAGCTCACTTGGCCCAATTAGCATAAGGGGGCTTGACTGGGAGAAGGCTGGTTCCAAGCGATATATCTCATTGGGATGGAATTATGCAAAAAAGTTGTCAACTATCAAATTGAAGCTCTATTTTTGTTTAGTATACCTGAACTCATTTCAGTTTCTTCAAAAAAAAAAACTATATTTTCAATGGAATCAAAGCTGACCAATTAACCGTAAAACCTGTAATAGAAGGGTCCACAGATTTTTTAACTTTGAGCCCACTCGTCTCGGCCCCTGTAAAAGATATCAGAATTTTGTCAACTGTTAAATTATTTATCATAATATCACCAACGTTTTATCAGTTGACACATTTTTGATATCTTTCATAGGGTCCTAGATAAATTGGCTCAAAATTGAGGGTCTTTTCTATTAAAAGCTTTACGTACATGATACAGTACCAGCCGAATCTATTATTTTTTCAAGGAACAAAGTTGACTAATGTTTAGAAGCTACTATTCTTGACTGTTTCTCATTATCTTCTTCAACATGTTCTTTATTTTTGTACATCCATTAACCTTATTCCCTGAGCTCTTCCCACATTCTCCACATCATCATCTCCGCTCTTCCCATCATCGAGGTACCAGAAAGCACACCGTGCACACACCATCTCTCATATCTCTCTCTTCTTCCATTCGCCGTCTTCCCATTCGAAACCTTCATGCCATAAATCTGTCAACAACCACACAACAAACGAAACAACCATGCACATACACACAAATCTTCTTCTTCTTCTATTCCTTTTTCTGTCCCCCGGTTGTACCCTAAAAACCACGGACGACCATCTGCCAGCCATAGTCACCTACATCTTACCTCATTTTTCTCGTTTCTCGGAAGTGTCCCTTTAATTAGTATTAGACGATTAAGAGGATGAAGAGGAGGAGACGGAAATTAGATGATTCATCGCTGACTAGGTTGGATCCATGATTTTTAATGTGCTCTGTAGGAAATCTGGCACCCTTTTCGTATAGGTTCAGAACACTTCAAGGTGGTGTATTCGTGATTTTTCATTGTTTTATTCTGGGAAAAATTAGGCTCCGCCCCTCTTCAAGTGGTCGCAATTATGACCGCCAAAATTGAAGATTATAGGCCACCTTCAATTTTTTTTTTAAACTTCCTTATAACGCTACACAAGCCTGTTACGTTGCTTTTGAAAAAGTGAAGAGCGAAGTGAACAACCTGTAAAAAACTAGCTTCAATCGCGTCGAAGGCGCACCAGCTAGCTTGTATTCCCATAATTAGTCAATACAAAAACTAAATTCCTTGTTATTCTTTTTTAATTCTGCTGAATTTGTTATTTACGAGAGTAACTAGGAGAATAGAAGAGGAAAGAAGGACAGGTGCATGGTTCTTTTGGAAAATGAATTGCTCAATTTTGCGGAATGGACAGTCTGTGTTGGGGTCACAACACCTGTTTTGCAGCTTGCGAGAAGCGTTATTTCCTTCTACCAATTCAGATTTTCATCTTCATTTTTATCCTGAATTTGTTGAATTGGAGGACTTTTTTGAAGTCTGAAAATTCATTTCGAAAAATTGTTAAACTGATTTCTTAAATTCAAATTGAGTAGACTAGTTATTATACAGTTGCAGTCCTATTCTTCAACTTTTAGGTATATTTTTTTATGTTTTGATGTTTGAGCTTAATTATCTCGATTTCTGTAAAAGATATCAAAAAGTGGTCAACTGACAAAATGTTTAACACCAATATTTCATCAGTTGACAGATTTGTAATACCTTTCATAGGAACCGAGATAATTGAGCTCAAGGTGCAAGTTTAGGGTGAGCTAGGGTGAGCTTCTCTAAGAGCCAACACGGTGATATTCTGTTTCTTCTCCTTATTTCTACAGATGCTCTATTACTTACCTATCCCTTATTCATTTGTTCTCTCTCCCTTATCAGTGATAACCTGACCCCATACAAGTGCATTTGGATGTTAAACAATCACCTCCAATCCACACGTTCCTCCTTCTTCCTTCTTTGATATCAGAACGATAGATTCAAAAAGGAAGGAAAAAAGAGAACAAACATAGACAAAAGGGATACCAGCACAAGCACAATAGTCAAACACATATTCTTTTTTCCTTTTCAAAAGAAACCATCGTCCATCCTTTTTTTTATTCTTCTTCCGCTCTTTTTTTTTCTGTTCCTCGTCAACTCATAAACCGTAGGAAAATGTATAAATTGGCCGATTTTTGGTTGAAAAAATGCTTTAATTTTGAATGGTAAAAACTTAAATTTTATCTCAAATTTGGCTCTCTAAATTTCATTCCTGGAGTTGAGCTTGTGGGCCCACCTTTGGAGGTGCCGCGGCGCTACCAGCTGAGCTACGGTGACGCCAACTGTGACCCGATTTTCTCGTTTCCTGTAGAAGATATTAAAAAACCGTCAACTGATAAAATGTTTATCATACTATCACAAATATTTTATCAGTTGATCACTTTTTGATATCTTTCACAGAAAACTAGATAAATCAGCTCAAAGTTGAATGTCTATTTTTTTTTTCATCATTTTTCTTTTTCTGCAAGAATTTGAAAACGGAAGAAGAAAACATAATTTCAACACTCCTATGCAAATAAATAGATAGATTCATTCATTTTGGAATGTTTTTGTTATTCAAAATCGAAAAAGATTTTCATTTTGTAGAAAACATTTTTGGTTTTTTCCTGATTTACCTTCAACTTTAAGCTTTTATATATATATCATTTTCTGTAAGAGATATAATTTTCTGTAAGAGATATAAGGGGTAATTCGACTAGAGGGTTACGGTATCCGTTCTTGAACGATTTCAGGGTTTTTCTAGGGAACACGAAAGGTTAATACAAGATTTTTGGGATTACGGTACATATTTTTAGGGCATAAAAAGTTTAAACTCCTAGTTTTCCAATTTTTGATAAAAAAATTATTAGGCTCTAATTTTATCAAAGTACTAAGTTAATAACAACATTCTGTAAATTTTTAGTTGAAATGGCGGAATAAAAAAAACGAATTTCCCAAAAAAAAAACTTCCTGGAGGATTTGAACTTGTGGGCCCACTGTTGGAGGTGCCGTGTCGCTACCGGTTGAGCTACTTTGGCTTTAGAAGCCCACCTCATTTGAGCTCAATTATTTCGATTCCTATGAGAGATATCAAAAATTAGTCAACTGAAAAAATAATGGTGATGTTATGATAAAAATGTTATTAGTTGACAAATTTTTGATATCTTGCATAACTACCAAGATAATTGAGCTCAAAGTGCGCATATAGCTAAACAATCTAATAGAACGCCACTCGAATCGTCAAATTTGAGTCCATGTATCTCATTTTCTGTGAGAGATACCAAAAAATGGTTAACTAATAAAATGTTGCTGATATCATGATAAAAATTTTATAGGTTAACAACTTTTTGATATATTTCATCAGAAGTGAGATATATAAGCTCAAAGTGGTCCGGCGTTCTATTAGAGTGTTTGAGGTAAATCAAAATGCCTACTGTAACCCAAAAAAAACCGAAAAATCTCCTTTAATTTTCCGAGGAAAAAAACCACCTGCCATTCTCTATATCCCTTTATCTAATCAAATAAATATCCGCATAGTCACTTGTATCCCCCCCCCCCCCCCCCCCCCAATTTAATCTAATCTAATCACCTTTCCCTCCATATTTTTTCCCATGACATGACAATTGACATTTTTCATCCCAATACATTTTTATGTTTTTGCTGATTGGAAATTGTTTGGAAATTTGATATTTTGTCAGGAAATGAGCATCGGAGTAAACAATTTTTTGTAGAGCATGTCATAACTTTTTCATTTATTCGATATTTCAAATTTTTGTTATCTCTTTTAAAAATATTTGTAACTTTCTATTTTTTTAAAAAAATATTTCTAGTTTCTATGACCCTTTATTTTTCTGGATAAATCCAATTTCCTATTCTATTTCCTTTTTTATATTTGAAAATTATTTAATTTCCGCTCTTCGAAATCTGAAAATCTAAATAATCACAAATTTGTCCTAACTACACCCTTTCCACGCACTTTTTTGTGCTCTCTTATCTGCCTTATATGACTCAGATTTTCAATTTTCAGCCAAAAAAATTTTTCCAGCAGACAGAGATTATATTCTTGCTCTCTTCGGCTCTCTCCCATTTTCTGATTTTTAATCCGCTACGTCCATCAAGAGATATGCACTAATTTTTGCTCACATTTTCAGATTTCAAAAACGGAAAAAAACTATGTTTTCAGCTATTATTTTTTGGCTGAAAATGTTCTAAAAATTGTTTAACATTGTTCTTCTCATAGTGTATTTGGCTAAAAATGTATTTGGCTAAAAAAACTGTTCCCTAAAATTCTGAAAATCTAAATATCTAAAAAAAAGTCATGAGAAAAAAAATTGTAGGAATCAAATCTGAAAATGTCAGAAGGTTCTTGGGATTTTCTCATAGTAGGGGATTCTGAAAATTCTGGAAACAATTTTTTCTCACGGACAAAATCCCATTCAGAAATTCAGAAATTCAGATATTCAGAAATTCAGATATTCAGAAATTCAGAAATTCAGAAATTCAGAAATTCAGAAATTCAGAAATTCAGAAATTCAGAAATTCAGAAATTCAGAAATTCAGAAATTCAGAAATTCAGAAATTCAGAAATTCAGAAATTCAGAAATTCAGAAATTCAGAAATTCAGAAATTCAGATATTCAGAAATTCAGATATTCAGAAATTCAAAAATTCAGTAAAATGGCTTGAATTTTTTGAAATTCAAAGTTTCGAAAAGCTCCTTCTAGCCAAATTTTCAGCTTTTTCTGAAATTCCATAGTTTATATTTTTCTAGAAATTAAGAGATACAGTTCCTTAAAAACTCAAAATTCAAAAAATCTAATCCTTCTCAAATTTGCAAAAATGAGTCTGAAATTCTCTTATGTCCGTTTTTTGTCTTTGTTCTATGGTTCGCATTTTTTCTGTGTTTCTATACCAATTCAAAAATTGGCCTATATTCCAATTCCTATTTATCTCTGTGTCTCTCAATCTCTCACTCTCTTCTACTTTCCAACAGTTGACTCATCAAGCTCTCTCCGGAGTGAGCGGACACAGCTACACGTCCGCACCTCGCTTTTTTCCACAAAGATGTCTGTCTGCGTCTTCTCGATTCTGTATACTATCTCGTCCGGTTTCACCTTCCCGTTTTTCTTTCAGTTTTATTGCACTTTCCATCTCTCTGCGTCTCTCGCTCACAGTGCTTTAGGCTCAGGGAGAAAGAGAGAGAGAGAGAGAGAGAGAGAGAGAGAGAGAGGAGTTATCTGATTAGGCCACGCCCACTTGGTACACCAGTTTTTTTCAGTGAGAGATTCTGCTTTTCTGAGTTCGAAGAGTTCAACTTTTTTAGGATTCCAACTCTTCTTGAGCAAGTTTTAGCGGATTTTTTGTTAATTTGCTCCGCCCACATATTATACCTTTTTCTAAGATTTCTGTATTTTCTGAAAAATTTTCTAATTGTAAAGCTCAATTTGCTCTTCTATTCTTCGCTCACAGAACAGGCCAAATTTAGTATATTTTTAGCTGAAAAACGGTCAACTTTGGACATCTAAAAATCATAGTAGACTTATCTGGATTTTTCTGGAATTTTTGAGTATACTAAACAAAAATAGAGCTTCAACTTTGTAGTTTACAACTTTTTTGTAAAATTTTTTCCAAATGAGATAAATGGCTTGGAACCAGCCATCCCCCATTCTGGGGTCGAGCACCAAGTAGGCGCCCTTCCACGTGGCATGTCTCCCCAGGATTAAATTTTCCAAAAAAAGATGTCAGCTTCAAAATTAAAGCTCTATTTTTGCTTAGTATACTCAAAAATTTTCAGGCTTATTCAAAAAAGTCAACTTTTTTTTATTTTAAAGTTGACAGTTTTTAACTAAAAGTCGAGTAAAACCTGTACTGTCAAGTTTGAGCTAATTTTTCTTGGTTGCTATGCAAGATATGAAAAACTTGTCAACTTATAAAATATTGATAATATTATGATAAACAATTTATCAGTTGACAATATTATAAGATTTTTGAAAAGAAACGAGATAAATTGGCTCAAAGTCAGGGAGCCTTCTATTACAAATTTTACGGTCGTTAATTTCTTTCTGTTTACTGTTCCACTCTTGATTTATCTTTTTTTCTGATTATTTTAGTAAACTCAAAATCCGAATTTCCAGGATCATGTCCTCTACCTCGACCTCGGATGACAAATCCTCTTCCACAGAAAAACGTGAAAAACCATCGTGTCCCATCGATGAGTACCGTTCTTCATCCAACAAAAAGCCCGAATTCCTGGAGAGCTACGCAGCATTCCGTCGTCCACGTACACCTCCACCAGTGAATACAGATTCAGAAGTGGATTGCACACCTTACGACCATGTACAGTACCGTCCGTTTTGCCAGACAATTCGGTTGAGAAAACGAGCAAAAGCCTACAATAAGCCAAAGAAGCCAAGGATGTCAGTGGTCATTGAGAACTTGTCCATGTTCGAGTGGTTGCATAGAGTTGGAGGTAAGAATTTAAAGGAAAGTTAGGCCACCTGTTATAGGGTGTTTAGGTTAGAAAAGTTAGGCCAGCCCTTAAAAAATCTACGCCAGCCAGAAGAGGTTGATGGAAAGCTAGGTCACTTGTTTGTAGTTCTTAGGCTAGCAAAGTTAAGCCAGTCATTGAAAATAATAAACTTTTTTTTGATTTGATAGGCCAGCAAAAAGAGTAGTTGAGGGGAAAGCTAGATCATCGATTTGGGTTCCTAGTCCAGCAAAGTTAAGCTACCCCTTGAAGTACCTAAGCTTTGAGCGGAAACATCTGTTTTTAAGGTGAATTTGTTTGCCTTACTTTTTTAGCACAGTAAATTATGCAAGGATGTCCTTTTTTGCCTCTCTAGCTTTTACTGGCAGGCCTTGATGCCAAAGAACTTTATGAATTGCTCATTTATTGCCAAATTAGTACCAATCTGTGTACCTGAACAACAAGGAAATCAAGGAAATTAGATTTATGATTAGCAATTTAGAAGGACACGGATTATTCGGTTAGATGCCAGGTGGCTAGCACAAGCCAATGTTTAATCTTGAGAGGGGGTTTAGGGTGGATGGGGGAAATTGAGGAATAAGACTAATTGAGCATAAAAGGAAGGAGCAAGTATGGGAAAATTTATGTATTACGGTTGTGCGGGAAATTAGAGTTTTTGTGAGAGCAAAAGAGATTATGTAAACGACATAGAATGAGAGTGGAATCTAGGGATGCCTTCTAAGCGTCAACTTTGAGCCCATATATCTCGTTTTCTGTGAGAGATATCAAAAAGTGGCCAACTGATAAAATTTTATCATAATATCAGTGGTATTTTGACAGTTGACAACTTTTTTATATCTTTCACAGGAACCGAGATAAATTGGGTTAAAGTTAAAAGTTAGGAGAATGACCACGCCCTCCCCGTCCTTAATCTTCAACTAAGAGCCAATTTATCTTGATTCCTGTGAAGGATATCAAAATTTTGTTGACTGATAAAATATTGGTGATATCATGATAAACAATTTAATGGTTGACAACTTTTTGATACCTTCTCCAGGAATCGATATAATTGAGCTCAAAGTTGGCAATCTTGGGTAAGCCCCTATTAGATGAAATAGGTATATATTTCATAGAAGAAGTCAAAATATGATCTCTTTTATCTGAATTTTTGAAATTTCTAAAAATCTGAATTTCGATCTCTTCTTCTTAAAAAAAACATGGCGGACTTCTCCAATCCTAGGACTTAACCTAAATGTCAACCACTTTCTTTGCTCCCATACATCTGCTCTTTCTATGTTCAACCCAATTTTTCATTTCTCCATCATCTGGGCATTCATCTGGTTCTTCTCACTTTTTTTCTCTCTTTTTTTGCTACCGACCTGGGATACAAAAGAGCCCCCGATGCTTTATTACACCACACTATCCCTATCTCTCTCTCTCTCTCTCTCTCTCTCTCTCTCTCTCAATTTCGGAGGGTCTTTCTGCTCAACAGAAGACACCTGACCTCATGAAATCGGAACAGAGGAAAAACAGTATGTGAGAGATGAGATGGAAAGAGAGGGGGGACCATTTGTGCAACAGGAGGTAGATGTTTGTGTGTTCGAAGAAGAGATGGGTTTCTGAGGAAGAAGGATGACAGGGGGACAGTTACAAATCGGTTAGCATAATTTCCATTTCGTAGTTGGGAGAGTTGAAAATCTGTAAAAGTTTGATATTTAAAGGTGGGGGGACAGGAGATTTTTCGTAGTTTTTTTGTAGCTAGCGTATGCATTCTACCGTCACGGTGTACAACGCTTAATGTCACTCTGCGTACTGCTGTCGTCCTCGCCTTTATGTATGCAATCGGGCGTGCGCTTTCTCTTTGCCCGCGTGGCTCAGTCGGTAGCGGCGCCGCACCATCAATCATCGCCCTCACAAGTTCAACTCCTCGAGGGGCATCTTTGAACGGAATTTCGAGAGCATTATTTTTTCATGTCCCCCCACCTTTAACGTCAAACTTCTTTTTTTTTAAAGATCGGTGCGCTCATTTTTATGGAAAATTTCATTTAAAAAATTTCGAAAAAATAAGAAAATTTCACGTATCACCAAATATTTTTTGGATAATTGAGAAAATTAATTTTTTCAAATCATTTTAAATTTATCGTAAATTGCAATTCCGAAAGTCTCGAAATCGCCTGGGACTTGAAAATTCAGGATGAAAAATTTATTAAAATATAAAAGTTTTCAAAAATCGAAATTCGAAAAAGATCCAATCTTTCAGCCGACAAATCCATGAGCACCGAAGAGCTGATGTTCGTGCTAACCAATGGTCTGTTCCACCAAAATGAAGGAAACGTGGCGATCGTATTCAACAAGGATCATCGAACAGGAAAATCAGCAACGAGTCGAATGAATGCAGCATTCGGGAAAGCGGAGAAAAAAGAGGATGCTGTCAAAGAGTTCATGGAGGCTCACAACTCTCCGCCTGTCAAATTTTCCATCCCAGAGAAAATCAAAAAATACGGTGTTGGTCATGTGATTAGGAATGATTTCTACGAGGAACCAAAACCGCCAAAAGAAGTTACTTATGAAGTTGTTGATATTGATTAGATGTAGATTGTCTTGGGCTCCCTTTCTGGTTTTTTATGTCATCTCATTTTCTGTGTTCTCTCTCTCTTCACCACCATCTTTTTCATATTTTTTCGAAAAACTTTCTGTGACAAGTTGTTCTCTCCAAAAAATGTCTTTGATATCCCTAAATTGAATAAATCGTTGTTGATTGAAAAAACGTTTTTGGAGAAATTAATTATGACTAGCCGATTTGCCGCGCCTCCGGCGCTTCAAATAGCTGGCTGGTGCGCCTTCGGCGCAATTTAACTTTTTTCTTTCGCTAAACTAAATTTTTCGAATTTTTCTCAAAACAAAAGAATCAGGATTATTTTTCCAATTTTAAAGACACCAGCCTGTTCGCCGCGCCTCCGACGCTTCAAACAGCTCTGGCTGGTGCGCCTTCGGCGCGATTTGATCTTTTTTTTTTTTTTTTTCTTTTTTTTTCCGCATAAAACTCAAAGCTCCTCGGAAATAAAAATAGTCCATAAAAGTAGAGTACTTGCTCTAATAGAGGTCCACCTGTTCCGACACTTAGGTGGTGAGCCTGTGTCGGAGCAAAAGTACAAGGATAGGAACATTAAGTATTCAACAACTATTTATTTAACTGGGTTAGGCCTCTGATTATGGATCTGCCCGGCATCAGCATTTGGAGTTGGCGTAGTTCCGATCCAGCGTCTGTGGGTTTCCATTGATTTGGAGAAAAAGGGGTGTGCACCATCCGTTGTCCACCATTAGGAGGTTGCAGCTTCAATAAGTGTGGCATCGGGTTTGGCTTTGTCCATGGGCGTCAGCAGTTGGGATCCGGCATCAGTGAGTCCATTGTAGAGGAGATCCTTTGGTAGAAGTCTCAGATGTCTCATCATACTGGCGATTCTCAATCCTTTTATAGCATCTCCTCGGCATATCCACGATTATGCTCCAGATCTGATATAGTGATAAGGGAAGTGATCACGCCAAATATGTAGCGTAAATAGTTGGAGAATTGTGTTTATGACAATTTGTGTCCTTCTAGATGTGCTCTAGTGTTATTGAATTTGAGGTCGTGCAGTAGAACCTCTGCTGCCGCGACACCACCCTTTACGTGCATTTTGGACTCAATTATCTCGGTTCCTATAAAATATATCAAAAAGTTATCAACTGATCAAATGTTTATCATGATATCACCAATATTTCATAAGTTTACAAAGTTTTGTCATCTCTCATAAGAACCGAGATAATTGAGCTTAAAGTTCACGTATTGGGTGAGCTTAGAGCAGATAAGGTATTCTCAGAACTTATATTTCGGACAAAAAAAATACAAAAACTTTATTTTTACAATTCAAGTTCACTTTTTGCCATGTTTCCCGCTGGCCATCTTTTATCTTTTCTCTGAAATTCAAGTTTCTTTATTTTTCAATTTTCCCGCCCTCTCACTCACTTTTAGCCATTTTTCCCTTCTTACTCTTCCTGGAAAGTACTTCTTTTATTGACTTTTTCGATTTTTTCGATACTTCCGATTTTTCTGGAATCGGTGTTGCTGCCATGGGCGGTGGTGCTGTTTGAGTTTTCGAAGATTTTATAAGATTCTCCGCGAATTGGACTCTTTTTCCGCCGGATACTGTTTTCCCTTGCTCAGCTTCTTTCTTTTGACCGTCTTCGGTGAGTTTTGATGGGGACGAATGTTCTCTGAAAAATGGAATCTATTTGTGTGTCGGTGTGTCTAGAATTCCCAACTTTGCCGCTTTTCCAAGTGGTACATTGATGATTTCAGTGTGTTGGGAATCGGATCGTTCTGGTTTCATTTCCTTTGGGTCGCGTGGTTTCCGGTTTGGTTTTCGGCCACGCATGATTCGAATTGAATCCATTCTGGAAGGTTTTTAAAGTTTAGGAGATTCAGAACTACAATCCGAAAATCCTTAATTCTTAAAATTTTAAAATCTCGGAATTTTTGAATTTCCGAATTTTAATATTTTTACATTTTAACAATTCAAGATTCTAGAATTCAGATCAAAAATTTCAGGAAAAATTATCTCAAGCTTCAAAACTGACGTATCCCCTCTCCGACTCTTCTGACTCATTTCACTGCGTTTTACCGCCATTTCCTTCTCGGTCTGAACTTCCACTTGTGATCCATTCTGTTTTTGGGACGTCGACACCGAATCGTCACGACAACGACGACTACTTCTTTCTCTAGAATTTATTCATAATTCAGAAGTTGTCTAACTAATTTTAACTTGCGAATTAGAATACCTGGTAGACGAAACTCTCTGAGCGCATGAGACAAAAATGAGGGTGGGAAGAAGGAAGAAGAGAATAAATGCAAGATGTTCAATAATTGCGAAATCCCAGAAAATGAGCATTTGTATTTTTCAACCTTGGGCAGGGAAATGAAGAAATGAAGGGTTTTGGAGGCACTTCAGGAAAAAAGTATAAGAAAAAAAGCTGGGGTAAAATACCCTACAAAGTCAGAAACCTAGTAAAACAAACTTCACGTGGAAAAATTATTTTTTTTGCAAGGAATTTTAGAAAACAAGAAAATGGGACTGTTTAGTATGCCAATTTTGAGTCCGCCATTTTCTTCCTTTAAATCGAGTAAGGATCACGTACCCCCATTTTTGACATTTTATGAAACTTTTCTCAAAATAATTCTAACTAGGTCAGTTCCGGTCCGTTTTGGCTGATTCTTTCTTCTATCGATAGAAAATCTCTGTGGCTATCCGGTTGCCAAAAATCGTCAAAAGTTGAACCGGCTGAACCAAGTTATGATTGAAAACGGACGAGTGGATACGGTTTTTTTTCCACGTTTTCCGTTTTTTCTGCCGAACTAGGGCCTAAATGAAAAATCCGGCTTTCCCATTCGATCCGTAATTTTGATAGCTATGTTGACAAAAAATATTAATAGGTTTTGAGTGAAATGTTCGAAATTCCGAGGGACCAGCTTCCACCTCTTGGGACGCGAGAACCGCTGGATAGATTGCTTTAATTTTTTGTCTCACCCTAAAAGAAGATCCTTAATTTTATTTTATGGTTTCAGATTTTTTTTCAGGTACGCTGGTTCTTGAGAAGTAGGTGGAAACCCACAAAAACTTGGGAAAAAATTGGCTAAATTTCTTACAAAAATAAAATATCGTGAAAAATCGCTCGAAAATATTGCCTCGAACAATGTATCCCTCCTTCTCCTTGAACATCTCTCCACCAAAGTTTTCGTTATTTTTTTGGTGTTTTTGCTATCTCTGATGTCTACTGGTTCAAAAATTTTAGTACTGATTCTGATAGAACAATGAGCCAGGGCCGCAGGCCATGCAACTGATTCCACTCCATTCCAAACTTCTAATGTTACAGGGCCGAAGGCCCTGTCCGGTCTGTTCGACCTGAGCGAGCGGAGCGAGCGAAGGGAGAACAGACTGAACCTTGGATCAACTGATTCCACAGAGCCGGGGCCGAAGGCCCTGCATCTAATTCCACCTAATTGCGCGGAGTCGGCCGTAGGCCGTGGACGATAGTCAATTTATTTCGTTTATTGTGAAAGATATAAAAAAGTAGTTAACTAATAAAATGTTTCTGATGTTATGATAAAAATTTTTCAGTTGACCATTTTGTGATATCTTTTACAGGAACCGAGGAAAATCGGCTTAAAGTTGATGTTCGGCCAGTCGGCCGCGTAGCTTGCGCCAGCGTAGCTCAGCTGGTAGTGGCGCACCTCCAAAATTAGGTCTACAGGTTCAATTCCTCGAGAAATGTATATGAACTGAACTCCGAGATAATTATTTTTATATCCCCCTCCTTTAATTTAGAATTTGTAAAATTATGAATTCGAATTTCTTTGCAAGATATTTTAGAGAGAAAGAAAATGGGATAGTTTAGTGTTCCAACTTTGAGTCAATTTATCTCGCTTCCTGTAAAAGATATTGAAAGGTGGTTAACTAATAAAATGTTTATGATATTATGATAAACATTTTGTTAATTGACTACTTTTTAATATCTTTCACAAAAACCGAGAAAAATTGATTTAAAGTTCACAAGTCAGTGCTTGCCTGCTGAGCTACATGGTCGGCAGCCGATCTTTCAACTTCGACCCAATTCATCTCGTTTCCTGTGAATGATTTGAAAAAGTGGTCAACTGACAAAATTTTTATTATATTATGATAAACATTTTATCAGGTGACCTCCATTTGATATCTTTCACGGAACCGAGATATATGGGCTCAAATTAAACGGCTCTTTTTTCCCGTTTTCTAGGTGCATATATGGACAAATCTGCGAATTTTCAGATTCAAAATAAAACTCTTCAATTTTTATTCAACCAAAACAATAACAACAACAACTAAAACAACCAAAAAAAGTTCAAATCTCGGCCCCGCTCTTTTAAAATCCGTCAAAAAATCCCTACTAACATAAATATCATCATCCACGTCTTCATCAGGCAACTGGGCAAGTCTCATTTCCTGAAGCCGCTGGAATTCTTCATACTCGTATTCTGCAGATTGTTCATGATCGGAAGAAGGAACGTGATAGTCTTCTGGCGGTGTCCAAATGTATGGGATGGTGACCTTCGCGTTTCCTGTAGTGTGCGGTTTTGAAGACGGCCTGGGTTTCGGAGGTGACTTTCTTGTAGTTGTGCCCTTTGTAGTCAATGTTGTAGCCTTTGTAGTAGTCGTCGAGGGTACTGTAGGCGGTAGAGTTGTGACCAGTGTTGTTATCGTAGCCTTCGTGGTTGTTGTAATCGTGGTTGGTTTTTGTGTTGTTGTAGTTGTTGTAGTCGTTGTAGTAGTTGTGGCTTTTGTAGTCGTTGTAGTCGTTGGGGGTACTGGAGGCGGTGTAGGCTTCGTAGTTGTGGTCGGTGTAGTTGCCTTCGTGGTAGTGGTAGTCGTTTTGGGTACTGTAGGTGCTGGTGTCGTTGTGGTTGTCGTTGTTGTTGTTGTAGTCGTTGTAGTTGGCTTTTTTGTTGTTGTTGTAGTTGTTAAAAACTTTGGCGCACAAATCCCGACAGTATCACAAAGCCCTTGTTGGAAAGCTGAGAGCCAATGAGCGAGTGTATCTTTTTTCCGTAGTCCCGCTGAAATGTTTTAAATATTGACAAAGTTTTTCTAAAAATTCACCTGTCGCTTCAAGACCATGAAGGATCCACCGTCCATCGACATTTTGTATAATAGGCCCGCCTCGTTCTCCTTCCTCTAAATGATCCGCAATAACGAGATATTTATCAGAGAAAGTGACCAACTGAAAATTGAGAAATACATAATTTTGTCTGAATTTCAGAAATAACCAACATTCAATCTCCGATGCTTCATTTCTCTCGCTTTTCCATAGGTGAAAACATCCGTTAGATCTGTTTTCGACACCTTTTGGACCGTCTTAAAATCTGAAACAAATTTCATCCGTTTCATTCTTCACTTTAAATACTCTACCGTCCCGCAAGCACATCCACTCATTGCTGAGATCCTGATCCACCTCCACAACCATCGGAATTTGTGTGTGTTTGAACAAGTTCTGATCCATATCACAAAAGTTCAGAAGCCAGGCATCGACCGGTTTTATGTTGCTTTTACTGCAACCAGGTGAGCCATCTTTGAAGCATCGGTGGCCAAATTTGATTTTTTTCACGATATTATTATAGAGTTGGAAGTGGCTGAAAATTCAATTTTATGTATTTTAAAACTCAAACTTCGTCTTGTGTATTTTTTGGATGTTCGATTGTTCGGAATATTCCAATTTTCTGAGAGCTGAAAATATCTAATTTTTTAGAAAATCGTAACTTTGGAATAATCTCGATTTTTCTGAAGTTTCGGAGTTTTTCGAATGATTTCGATTTTCTGCCTTTCTGAATTTTCAAGAATCGGAAATTCTGAGTATTTTAGAAAATTGAACTTCTGAATAATTCTGATTTTCTAATTTTGGTAATATTTCTGGTTTTCTAGATTTTTTTTCAACTTCTGTATTTTCGGAGTTTAGGAATAATTCGGATTTTCCAATTATCGCAAATTTCGCAGTTTTTAAAATTTCTAGAAATCGGAATTGTTGTAATTTTTCCTGTTATGTTTCTGTTCCGCTGTTTCTTTGGGACGGGTGAAAAACGGACCACCCGCTGCCATCCGTCGGCCCTCCTTGTTTTTTACTGGTTGGTCGCTCAGTTCTTTACTTTTTCATAAAAGGTCATGTAAATATATTTATCTTTCAAGTTTTCAAAAAGTCGACAGAGTGACACCGGGACAGACAGACGCGTGTTATATATAAGGAAGATGAACCTTCAAAATACGTCATGAAAAAAATCCCCGAAAATTTTTGAAAACATTGCCGTGGTGTCCCCCGGGCGGGCGGCGGGCGAGTGAGTCGCTCATCGAATATAAATTATTGAGCTCCTCTAGTTACCGCTAATCCGTTTCTCACCTATTTCTCACCTATTTTTCTGTGCACAAACTTTCTTAGCATCTATTCTGTAACCAGTATTCAATGTCCACGTGTAGTTGTCATTGAGAACAACTTGAGATGAAGCTAAAAAATGACGGGAAGAAATCATTGTCGTCAGAGAGGTTCCCGTATAGTTTTTACTGTTTTTGGAATAACCGGACGCTAAAGATATCCAAATTGGCCAAAGATCGGGGGCAACTGTCATCGGAGTGGAACTATTTGATGGGCGTACTGAAAATCTTTTTTTTTTTTTGAATTTTTTTCGGACAGCCTAATCGAGTTTTTGGATGTCAAAAATATCATTTCTGGGGAAATACATGAATATTAAAAGTTTTGCATTCAGTGGCCTAGTTTTGAGTTTCTAGGCCACATACTTTAAATGCTCATAACTTGGCTCAAAATTGGTATTTTTGTAATAGGCCTAGACATTACGAAATAACCCTGATAAGATGACATCTGAATCTAAAAACTCATGCTCACCTTCGTTTCTCAACTTGAACTTTCCACAGTTCTCAATCCTTTTCAAGTTCTCCTTCGGTGTCAATCTTTTCCCAGTTCCAAAACTTGCTAGAATCAGAATCAAAACTACGAATATCGATTGAAATTCCATATTCGATACAATCAGAATTTCATATAAATTTTAGAACTGATGAATCATGAGGATCTGGGAGGTCGGTGAATAGACGTGGATTTTTTTAGACAAAAAAGTTAATTCAAAAAAATTATATGGCGCGAAATTAGTTTCCACGTTTCGTGACAGTTCTCCCTCTTGCCACAATCACCACTGATTCCAGTCCGATCACCATCAATCTTCGAAATCAGTTCCTGGAAATGTTCTGGAATAGAAATCATTTCATCAGATTTCATCAGATTATTTTGATTGGAATTTTCTCGATTCTTATTGGAAGCTCTGAGCCATTTAGAAAATTGAGCCCTGATGAGAATCAATCTCGATTGAAATCTTGTGGAAATTTCAAACTTCGTAAGTTATTTTCTTGATGCCAGAGTTTTTTGAATGTGGATTTTCTTTCAGCTCAACACTCCCAGGATGCAAATGGAGTCATAATCACAAAAGAACCATATGAATTGAACAACGTCGTAACGTTCACAGCATGTACCATACAACAAGCTTTTGCGACAGCTACTGCAATCTCATCTCGTCACATTTTAACATCTTCTCATGTATTTATTGACGGTCGAAGGAAATGGAGATGGACTGGACAATCTGTGCAGTGTTCCGCCGGTTCAGCTGATCTTGACGTTCCATCTGAAGTACTCAAGTCCATTGATCGTCTCCCCCTGACTCGAGCTACAATATTTGATGTTTGTGACCCTACAAACAAAGACTTCAAGTATGGCACTGACATCTCCAGGAGTTTAATGCTTGCTGAAACGAATGGAACGTTCAACGATTACTTTTGTCTCGCAAGTGGTTGGTTTTTGTATGAATCCAAGTATAATATATTTGCCTTTTACAGAGGTCACAAGTGTTCATAAAGACGAGTTATTGGATTCATATGGACTTGCTTGGAATAAAGGCACTTATGAATTGTATCACAGAAAGTTGAAGTTTGTCGGCTACGGACAGGCGCCCCATTCGATGTTCACAGAAGGGTACATATCAAAAGACGAATTCGCAAGTGCTTTGGTCAAAGAAAAAGACGGAAAAAATATGCTTTTGGGAATTGGGTCAGCAAATAATCAAAAAAGCGTCCGATTCGATGGGCACTTTTTCAAAATCGTAGACTTTAAAGATACGATTTGTTCACTGGCTGGAATTTGTGATCCGAAAACAACCACTACGACTACCACGACTACCACCACTCCAATCCCCACGACTCCAACCTCTACAAATTCAGTTATCACGATTCCCATGAATAATCCGCCGACCGCTACTACTTCTCAACCCCCATCAACTCCCTCCACGTCATCTGATACTGGAAAACGAGAACTTCCAGCTTTTGTGTTGGTTTTGATTGTTGTGATGGTTTTTGTTTAATAAATTTTTATGATTTTCTTGTTTTTTGTGAGACTACGAATATTTAGAGTTGACTTCTTTTGTCTGAATTTTTTGGTATTTCTTCCAGCACGCCAAATTATACATGAAAAGCGCTTTATTTTTTAGATATCCAAAGTTAACGCTTTTCAACTTTAAATAAATTAAATTAATGAAATTTTTGCCGGTGGAGCCCTGCACCTTCCAGAGCATCTCTACCAGTATTCGAATACTCGATGGCTCCAAACTTTTCAAAAAAAAGCTCCTTTTATCTTTCACCTTCAATCAAAAAATGACAAGATTCGAAATGACAAACTGCTCGCAAAATAAAATACCGGAACTCCCAAGGTGAAAGAAAAATTGTCTCAGCATGCCATTTTTTCCAGGTAGCTCAATTTTCGAAAAACTCCCAAAACTTCTTTACTTTCGAATGAATGATCCATTAGAGCTCCATTTTCTAAACTATTCAATTATTCATACAAACCGAAGACCACCAAGTTTCAAAGCATTAGGAGTGTTCTTTGGAACTCTTACAGTTTATTTGATTGGAGCTTTTGTAAGTTTTAATTGATTTTCAGATTTTCAGAATTTTTTTCTCAATTTTCAGATAATCAGTGGGCTTGCAAACTATATATCTCAATGGTGGACGTCCAAACGAGTTGGAAAAGTTACAAGAACGCCTTGGATTCCAAAAAATTTGTGTGAATATAACATAACATCAAATGGAACAATTCCGGAGGCGAGAATTTATTGTGGAACTCCAAAAGGATACAATTTGTGCAACCGCAAGATTATCCATTTGATAAAAATTATATACAACTTGAGAACTCTCAATAACTATCCAATTCCAAAGAACACTCAATTGATATCAATAAAAATGAAAGGATTCGAGCATGGAGAAGGTCCATATGAATTCATACCAATTCTCGGATATTTTCAAGGTAGACATGGTTCGATTCCCTTCAAAGGACCATCACCGGGAAGCTTTTTCACTTATCAAATGTTTGGAGAAAATAGGGTTCAAGTGACAAGTTATGTGGAAGATGGTGTCAGTTATGTTGCTGGATTTTGCATTTACATTGAGAAACAATCATTGTGGGGTGTCAATTTTCGAGTGGATTTGATTAAGAAGATCCTGAAGTCAAGAAGGTATTGGACGAGGAGTGAGAGGAGGAGGAGAGCGGGGAATAAGGAGAGAGCGCTGGATTCTGGATTTGCTGAAAATAACAAAAACACCGTTGTACCGTATGATTGTTTGATTATTTCTAATGTTTGATTTTTTAGGGTGTTTTCAGGTGTCCTGCATAAATTTGAATTGTTAGCTAAAATATATAAAATCGAATAAAGTTTTCAAAAAAAAAATTATAATTTCTCTTTTTTTGTGAAATACCATAGACTTTCAATAAAAAATTAACGTTTTCCTTTGAACCTCGTTATCTCGGTTCCTGTTAAAGTTATCAAAAAGTAGAAAACTAGTAAAATGTTTTTGATATTATGATCAATGTTTTATCAGTTGACAACTTTTTCATATCTTATAAGGAAAATGAGATATAAATGTTCAAATTTGACGGTTTGGGTGACATTCTATTAGATTGTTTACGGTAGATTTTCAGATGTTCTGTATATATTTGAATGTTTTAATTTAACATGACCAATTAAATAAAGTTGTATGATTTATTTTCCAAGTTATATTTTTTCCCTACAAAGGAACTCTTAATTACTAAAGACTATTTCATTCCGCATATTTAATGATAATCTCAAATTTTCCCTATCAGTCGTTATGGCGGTTCCTTATCTTGAATACTATCAGTGTTATAAGACCAATCGAATTCTATAATCAACATGAACTTAAAATTTACTGTCTTCTGAATCTAATTCGCCCTGTGCTGGAATGCGAGGCTGTTCCATGGCCGACCGGCCGCGTTTTTTGGCCATAGTGATTTCTGGGTCGCTGAGCGTATTTCAAAATAACGGACTGATTGATTCAGAACAAACAACCCATAGCATGAGTCACGCGATTTGCTTAGCCTTGCTGGAAAACAAGATTCTCAAATTTTCAGACTATTTAATATTGATTTTTCGCTTTTTTGCCTATTATCCCGTTCTCCTCCCGTACCATAATTCCATAATCTTATTGTGAACCGTCTCTCACCATCTGCTCTAAACGTCCAACGGTGTCCCCACAGGGAAAAGAAACGTCGTCTTTTACCTTTGTACGTTTCTCCCACCTCCACCGTCTCCTCCCAAACGATCGTAAAACAGAAACAGTGAGAACGTATGCTCATTAATGTGTTGACCTAATTGGTGCTCACGTTAACAGAATTTTGATTCCTAATTTTTATAATTTTCAGATGATTGGAAATCTCGATTGGACATCCTTCGATTCTACGGAAGTTGGAACGATGTACTATGCGGACAATAATCTTTGGAACGCGCTGGTATCTATTCTTCTTGGATTTGCCTTCTTCTTGGTTAGTGAAACATTTTGAAGCTTCATAATTCTCTTTAAAGGTGGGGGGACAGGATATTTTTCGTAGTTTTTTTGTAGCTAGAGTATGCATTCTACCGTCACGGTGTACAACGCTTAATGTCATTCTGCGTACAGCTGTCGTCCTCGCCTTTATGTATGCAATCGGGCGAGCGCTTTCTCTTTGCCCGCGTGGCTCAGTCGGTAGCGGCGCCGCACCCTCAATCATCGCCCTCACAAGTTCAACTCCTCGAGGGGCATCTTTGAACGGAATTTCGAGAACATTATTTTTTTTCATGTCCCCCCACCTTTAAGGCTTTCATTCGGTTTGGAAACTTAGCCGACCTACCGACAGCCGCCCCAGCCGACCAACAGCCGACCGAGCTGACCGAATTCATGCATTTGATCGTCAAGAATAGCTCGGTCGACTGTCAATCGACGGTCCTCGATTTTCCACCGCTCGAAATAAAAACCTTAATTCCATTTAATCATATTTCAGCTCGTCGCATCTGTCACAATTGGCACAAATCTTCTCTATGACTGGCACACTTCAAAAGAAAGCGGACCCATGAAGACCAAACCGTTCTGTCAAGACTATCACAATTATCTAAAGGAATACGAGAACCTGAAAAATGTACCAGAAGCTAGAATGTATTTTCTAGAAGATAAATGCCAAATGTCGAATTTATCCACCAAAAAATTGAGTTCCCTAATGGCAATTATCTTTAAAAATGACAACCCCGAGGTTCCCAAACATGCCCGAGTGATTTCGATTAAAATGGCTGGATTCAAATATGGAAACGAGTGCCACGATTTCGAACCGATTAATGGTAGAGCTCCTGGGAGTGAATATTGCTACAAGACATTTGGAAATAATCGGATTCAGGGAACATTTTATAAGGAGAATGATGTTTACTACCTCGCTGGATTCTGTATTTATGTCAAAAATGAGTTCGTGATGGGATTCAATTTTCGGGAGGACGATGTTCGATGGCTAATGGGTGGAACCCCGTATCCAGCGCGGACTCGGGGAATCAGAAATACAAAAAGTGAGATGGAGTTGGCCAAGAGGATCATGGAGCTGAAAATAGAGGAAAATTCAAAAAATGAAGAAAAGGGTACGCTTTGGGTATACCTCCCAAGTCAACCATGTCGAGGATCTCAGGAATGCTCCAGAAGCACCAATAAAAATGAATCCTTGTTTGCAATTGTTTAATACAGTAATCCGACAGTAACCCTGCAGTAATCCTTTTCATTTTCGAATATTTTTCCCCTACAGTAATCTTTTTTTTTCTTTTGCGAATCTCTTGTGGTTCTTAATACATGTATTTGAATCCTTAAGTTTTATCCATATCTTCTAGAAAAGAGCCCCGAACCAGAATTGTACCATGTTTTATCTGAGTTTAATGAAGTATTAACAGTCACAAAAGCCCAATTAACAGAAACTTCAAACTGCTCAGATTCCAAAATAGATCTAATCATCCTATGATCTCCATTGTAGGGGGCACATGTACCTTTAATCCTACGTTAGCCTCCTCCTCGCTGCCTCAACCCTGCTTGAGATACGCACACAAAACTGATCCGCCTATGCTTATTTTCTTGGTCTGTCAATTTTCCATAATCACTGAATCCTTCATAAGCCGCATTGATATGAATTAAAATCACGATTATCGATGGAAGTTTCATTTTTGGAAAAAATCCAACTGAACGGCTCTAAAACAAAAAAAAAGACAGCATCACATGATGTGTGATATTTTAATTAACAATTTATCAGTTCACAACTTTGGGTGACGGTATTTTACGAGTAAGGGTGCAAAAGGGCCAGTCGATGAGAAGTCCGATTTGTAACGAGCTTCCAGGTCAGCTGGGATGGCAAGGAATCCCCTCAATTCTTCGAAGACTACTGGCGTTTCTACTCGACGACGACCACTGGGATCGGCAACGAATGAGCGAGGAGGATTGGATATTGGATGCTGGAAGGAAATGGATGCTGCCCACTGTCAGGAAGCTTCGGATGCGCTACTCATTGCTATTTCATTTTTTTTTTTCGTGAATTGGCCCTATTGCACCTTAACTCTGAGTATACGAGAGGGGGACAACTTAGTATCTTTAACAAGAACCGAGATAATTGACCTCAAAATGCAAGTATTGGATGCGCTTCTATTAGAGCAAATACGGTAAATTAATTCCGAATTCTCGCCGCTTTAAGGAACTAAAAAACGTCACGCAAAGAAGCGAAAAATAATCAAAAAATTTGGATACTTGCGTGACCAAGAAGTTATAGATCTTATCTAACAATCCAATAGTTTTTGGGTTTAGAGTACTTTTACGTTCCAGAACTAGTTGGAAATATCGAAAAAATGAAATTTCAATCGATTTTCATACTACTAATTCAAATCAATTTTTCTTGTGGGGATTTTATCAAATCTGGAAAATTGACAGATAACGAAAATGAGTATAGGCTTAAGACTTGTGGAATGGAGGGTCTTCGTAAGTGGTTTGATTTTTGATCTTAAAATTGTTTGGCTTTATTCCAGCTATCCCATCCTCTGAACCCACTCTCACCAATACCAGTGACACGTGGATGTGGTATTCTGAGTCCAAATCTTCAAATCGATATTCTGGAGCCACTCTAATTTCCTCTAGACATTTCTTAACAATTTCCAACAACATTCTCAAAGATAAAATGGTTTGGATACATAATGGATCAAATTTCACCCCGAAATGTTTGGGAAACAATTTGTGAGTTGCTATTTCGTTTTTTTTGTCTACAGTAATCCTTTGAAGAAACCAAGAAGTTCCTCAAGATGTGGTGAACACCCTAAATCTGATATCCTTCGATTGTCCTCCTTCTGAAAATTCGAACTGCAAAAATAGAACGGCAAAGCCTGTGAAAGCATATTTATTAAATATTTGTGATCCTTACGTGAAGAAATGGTTTCACATAATTCATTCTCCAATGATAGTTGAGGTGAAAGAGGTTTATGCGAAAAGTACACCTTGTCTAGATGGCAGCATTTCCAGTTTTGGAGATATCTACTCTTATCGGTTTTGGTCAAATAAGGGATTCATAGGGATGAGTGTGAAGGTTATTTTAATTTTTATGCTTTTTTATAGTGAAATTATAATTTTTTTTTGAAGTGTCGAGTTTCGAACTTTTGGAAAAATATTCTTTAAAAATTAATATTTGAGAAATGTATCTTCACATTTTTCAATGGCTTGAATCACTGGAAACATTGGGACCACAACGTTGTTTTAAACAGTTTTTTTTTCCCGGAAACCTTGTAATGTTAAATTAATCTACACATCCTAACTAACATATTTCTCTTTTTTTCATGCAAAATATTGGCGCTATCATTTAAAAATATGCGCTTATATCCGAGTTACAGCCTCTTTTTCTCCATTATTTCAGCGGCTGGACGGGACCTTCTCCTTTTTTAGTTTGTATTTTTCAGTGAAAACAACCACATATTCGAATTCTAAGCAATCGATTACATAGAGAGAGAAATTTTCATACCGGTCCTCTTCTAGCCAAATGGACAGCCAACCAAAAACCAAAACACCCCCGCTGTGATAAAAAAAGTTAGACCTGAAATTTCTTAATTCTAGGTCAACAAAACTCATAGGAATTCCCTTGTTGTTACTGAATTCACAAATAATTGGACAGACAGAGGTGGACCCCTTATCAGTGTCAAAAATGGAAAATGGTCAGTTATCGGATACGATGCAACAGGTAATATTTTTTGAAATCAAAACCACAATCCAAGTTTCTTTAAAGGTGCTACTCTGAAGAAAGGAACTTTCCTTAAATGGTTCTATCGCGTCCAACGGCTGAAGAACGGGATATGTGAGGTTTCTGGAGTTTGTGATCGTATGATGACATCGGCTCCAACCACGACGACTTCTACAACTGAATTGACGACTACGGTAACGTCTTCTGGATCTTCAGAAAATTTGAAAACTACAACACTTCCGACTAACTTGGAACCAGAATACGATTACGATGAATACGAGGACTACCCGACGAATTCGGAATATTTGGAATTGGATTATAAATTTTTGATGGATACGGTCGCCGGAAGCTCTTTCAGAAATATAAAGATTTTCGTTTTTCTAATACTTTTCTTTGTAATATAAACTATTTAATTACTTCTCTGTATGTCTTGTGGTCCAGATTTCCAGAAGCACACTGTTTCACTAACCTCGCCACATCATGGTGTTGTTTTTTTTTTTGCAGTTCCGGATTTTTTTTTGATAAAATGAAACTTCCATCGATAATCGTACTTTTAATTCATATCAATTCGGCTTATGAAGGATCCTGTAATTCTGGAAAATTGACAGACCAAGAAAATAAGCATAGGCTGAACACTTGTGGAATCGAGGGACTTCGTGAGTTGGCTTCTAGAAGATTCTGAGGATTCGAAGTTCAGTTGTCTATTTTCAGCCCAACCATCTCCTGACTCCGTCGGTTCTGATGTTCCCTATCTATCCGATACTTGGTTATGTTGGGGACAAAACGACCCGAGTGATGAATCGATATCCACTGCTTCTCTCATATCACCCAGACATCTTATCACTTCTTCGGAACTGGTGCTGACTAGAGAAATGCATTGGAGAGCAAATGGTCGAAATTTTGATTTTCAGGAGGATTGCAGAAAAAAAGAGAGGTACAAATTGTCCCATTTTCTAGAAACATTTTATTTTGGAGTTCATTTTCTAGAACCTAGAAATTTTTAAAAATCAACATTGGAATCACGCTCAGTTTGAGATAAGCTTCAAAATGAACCCAAACACGACTAGGCTCCGCCCACTTTCATTTTTCAGGCCCGTCGCGGTCGTGCGTCGCGTGTCTAGGTGAAAATTCAAAATGAGCGGAGCCTAGTCGTGTCTGGGCTCATCTTGAAGCTTGTAATGAGCATAATTCATTGAATTTGTTTGAAACGGGATAATATTTATTTTTTTAAAAATTTTGAAGTTTTTGAAAAATGAAAAATTACAGAGCCAAAAATTTTTTTTTAATGGTTTTTTATTCTGGAAAATGCATTTTGTTCAGACATCTGGAGCTGCCAGAGAAACATCTAACCGGTCTACAATTTACTTTGCATCGATGCTATGACCCGACAGATGCAAAATGTCAGGGCAATGTTCTTCTGGCAAAAAGAGCTTATATTTTGGATATTTGCCTAGAGTCGGGTTACATTCAAGACCATTTCAGGGAAGTTTTCTCGCCAATGATCGTAGAAATCGATTATGGTTTTAATGGAAGCACTCCATGTCTAGCTGATAATCGTATGAAAATTTTTAATGGATCAGAAGCGGATTCATATGGATTGGGGAGGTTTGAAGAACAGAGATATACAATGAAGCATAGGAAATTAACTGTAAATGATTTTTTAAAGTTTATTGAAAAATCGGAAATGATTATTTTTAATTTTCAGATAGCACATACTGATAATTTGCTTGTTTTCACGGAATCTTATAAGGGAGAACAAAGGAGAGGGGGTCCATTGATTCAAAGAAATCCAAACACTTCGAAATGGACAATTATTGGATTCCAAGCTTCTAGTATGTATTGACTAATGATTATCCTAAGGTGCAATGTTTTTTTTTCAGATAATATGAAGCTTTCTGCATTTTTCAACATGAAACGTCTCCAAAATGTTCTTTGTGAATTAATTGGGATTTGCCCGTTTTCTAATTCTGAAATCATGTTCTCGATGTCTTCTGAATTCCCTATCAGTACTTCTACATCATCTGAGCCTACAGTATCCAACTCCACGTCTTCCGAAAGTTTAACTTTTACTTCCAAAGCGTCAACACCCATAACTAGGAAACCCAAACCATCAGTTCCATCGAATACAAAAACTACAATAAATCTAAAACTCGACGACTCTTTCGAATCTATCCCTGAAGAATTGGAAAAAGATTATGAAGAAAATGAAGAGAAAGGAGACGATATGGGTATTGATCTTTATGTTAGCAGGGATTTTTTCACGGGTGGAAATCGAGGGAAAGGAGAAATTAGTTGGGAACATTTGGTTTTTTTTTCTTACTTTGTTTTTGACTTTATGAATTAAAGTTTTACAATGATACTTCTTAAATTAGATTGTCTGAAAAGGATTTTCAGAAATTAATTTTTGGATTAAATGTTTTTTGGATTTCAAAGAATTATTTGAACTTACTATTAGATTGAAAAACATTAAAATAAACAATTTCTCTAAAAGGTGGGGGGACATGAAAAAATAATGTTCTCGAAATTCCGTTCAAAGATGCCCCTCGAGGAGTTGAACTTGTGAGGGCGATGATTGAGGGTGCGGCGCCGCTACCGACTGAGTCACGCGGGCAAAGAGGAAACGGTCGCCCAATTGCATACGTAAAGGCGAGGACGACAGCTGTACGCAGAGTGACATTAAGCGTTGTACACCGTGTCGGTAGAATGCATACTCTAGCTACAAAAAAACTACGAAAAATCTCCTGTCCCCCCACCTTTAATCCAATTTTTTAAAAGTCTAAGCAAGTCTTAAACAAAACCCAAAGTTTTCTTCTAAATCCAAAATAAGCCCAAAACTTTCAATTTTGAGCCAACACATCTCGGTTCCTGACAAAGATATCAAAAAGTTGTTAACTAAAAGTTATTCAATCATAATATCACAAACATTTTGCGATATTTTTCACGGTCCTTCTCAAATAAACCAATTTTTATTAACCAAAACCAAAACCATGCATAAATGGAGTTCCCACTTCCATGATCCATTTGTTTCTTCCTTTGAATCCATCTCCGAATCTTCTACTCTAGCTTCTACATTTCGAAAAATATAAAACGCAAGAGTCTCATATTGATCTTCAGAATTCCCATTTTCCTTGGAATTTTCTGACGTGGTCTGTGTACTGGTAGTATGCAAAGAAGTCGTCGTCATCCGCTCTTCAAGATCTCTTTCCGAACAAATTCCAGCTAGATCACATAATCCGCTTCGAATCCATTCTACTCGGAAGTAGATGGGATATGTGCTGCTGCTGTTTTTGGGCCTATGGTATGATCCTGAAAATTGTATTTTGAGAAAAAAGTTTTACAATTTCTTAGTCACTGGCTGCTAGAAAACTAAGCAATCTGATTTTCCCATCGATTTCCGTTGTCAACGGGCTACCATCTTCTTCATTCCTTTCAAACCAAGGCTCAGTTACAATGACTTGCAGGTAGTTTCGGAATATCTAAAAAACATTAGGTTTAAAAAATTGAATGTATTATCTACTAGTTTCTTGTCAGTTAGAGCTATTGGATTTTTGAATTTCAAAATTTTCGGACTAAATTTTAGAACTTCAGAAGTTGAGAAGTTCAGAAATTGAGAAATTCAGGAATTCAGAAATTCAGGAATTCAGGAGTTCAGAAATTCAAAAATTCAGGAATTCAGAAATTCAGAAATTCAGGAGTTCAGAAATTCAGAAATTCAGGAATTCAGAAATTCAGGAATTCAGGAGTTCAGAAATTCAGAAATACAGAAATTGAGAAATTCAAGAAATCCCAACAACCCAAGGATTTAAATATACGAAAATTTTCTAGATAAAAATGTGGAAAATGGAGATGGTCAGAAGAGAATTTGTATTGGTTTAAAACTATTTTGTTGTGTTTAATTGGAGTTTAGTTTAATGAATTGTTGTTTCCGTGATTTTTTACATTTTACTAATAGCCTAAAATTCTCGTATCATCAGAATAAACATTTCTAAACACAAAAAACATATCACTAATTAGAACACAATTGAAGAAGTGAGAAAAAGTGCAGGAAGAAGTGAGAAAAAGTGCAATTATAAAATTAAAAAATTAACTAACAAGAAAAATTCATAACCCATGAAAAAATAAATATTGGAGGCTCCAATTTGGAACAATAAAATATGCAAAAATTAAAGAAAAACTCGGGATGAAAGACATGGAAAAAATGGGGGAAAATGTGCCTAGATGAGACTGGGAAATAGCGAAAAGTGGGGGAAACATCTAAATTATGGTTTTCTAGTGGATTTCGTGTACATCAGTACGTATGCCCGTTGTTTTGTGATGTTACTCGTTTCCATTGCCTTGACTACTGTATCATCGAATTGATACCATTTGGCGCCACGGCGGCCGAATGCAATATAGTGACCGGATGAGCAACTGGAAATTAAACATTTAGAGAGGCCTAACTTTTTCCATGTGATTTTCCTAGGCCACCGCAGTTGGTGGCCTAGTTTTCGCAAGTTGAGTTTTCTAGGCCACCTAACGAATTTTTGAAATTTTTTAGGAATTTCGGTCGTAAACGTTTTGAAGCTAGCCTTTTTTTGATCACCCAATTAAGAAAAAAACATTTGAAGTTCCTTACCCATATCCAATATGAACAATGATCGAATGAAGCTCGTAGACACACGGTGGCTCGTCACTGTCCTGAAAAAATTGAATTTTTTAACTAAAACTCAAAAACAAACCAAACTCACTTCTGTTAAAAAGTCATCAACTGATAATCCGGTTAGCGGGAATTCGATAAGAGTGTCAATTTTGCCACCATTATCACGGAATCGCTTTATATGGAGGCAGAGGACTTCTGGCAACTTCTTAATGAACATTTGCTTCGAACACGTCTGCTTTGATTTGCACTTTGAGCATTCCGGTTTCTCTCCCTTCTCCAAAAGTTCTCGTTGGAAAAATAGGTCGAGGCAGTCCGATAAACGATACCGCGCTTTTGAGACTCGTGGTACGTCCAGCGAGAGATCTGAGTATAATTTTTTACTGGAGAAACCAAGGATGTAATAGAACTAACCCATAAAATCGTCCATTTTATTGCTAACATTCCGACAAGTTTGACAAATGACACTACTTTGAAGTGTTCCCTCGAAACTCTTGGAAATCGGTGTAGTTTTGTCATCAGGCATCTCTGGAAGATTCCTGCATTTCCTCATTTCCGTGTGCATTTGATCTAGAAGATATCGAAGGAATTCGTGCGAATCGTGTTGTCGAAATCCACGAAACCGGGGACAGGCGGAGACGAAGGCTTCGCGAAATTCGTTCGGAGAAGTTGGATCTCGGAAATTTCGCGCTGACATTGATGCCAGCAGTTTTTGATATTCATCTGTCAAGAAACAATTCCCATTCTGTGCAATCTTCTCGTCTTCTACATAGTCTTCCAGTGATGGCAGATTCAGAATATACTCCCGGAAGTCTTTTATGCAACTGAACATTTTTTGGAATTTTGGATAAATTTTCCGTTAAAAAAACTTACGCTAATGCCTGCAGAACTGCATTCATGAAGCATGTGTTTCCCAGATTCCTCAATCCACGTGGCCGATACGGAATCTCAGTTGACGATGATGAAGAAGCGACACCTCCATTTGATGCAGGTGGATTCGTGCAATCGATGACGACAGCTCCTTGGAATGGTGTATCGAACATTGGACTCACTTTCCCTTTCTTTCCTCTTTTCTTCTTCGATCCTTTCTTCTCACCGACAACGTGTAATTTTGTGGCGAAATTAGTGGAGACGTTGGTGAGACCTCTGGAAAAACACAACTGAAGATTTTACCCTAATATTATAAATCTTACGGAGAGGTATTCGCATTTATGGTTGGTCCTTCTCCTCCTTCCATTATATCTTCTCTGTCGAACAGAAGCTTCAGCGATTTTAGAACTCCATAGAGCGAAGGTTCAAAATCCAGAGACACCTCATCATCACATGTATAGCAATAGAGTTCGAAAGTTATACAATCCATGACAACTGGATGTCTTGATTCTTCGAAATGCTCAATAGCATGCCCTGAATCATCTCTCCCGCATAAAATTCGACCACAAGTGAGACACATCAACGATTTGTTGCAATTATCGCACTCGTCACAGAAGGTTTTGAATCTTTCTTGTCCTCTGAAGCAAGTACTTTTAGCAGATTTAATTTGCGAATAACCCACTTAGAAGGCTTCCCTCGGTTAGAGTTTCCTTCCAGGAATAAATTATTGTCCTCCATGTCTTGCTTTTTGCGGAACATCGTTTTGGGAACCCGTTCGACGCATTGTTCAACTTTAATGTGATTGCAGAGCATCTGAAATTTTTTTTTATGATTCAGTGAATATTTTAGAGTGCGAAAAATTTCGGATTTCGGTCCGTTTTTTATGTGGGAAAAGGGTTCGCCACTCATTTGACTGGAAAAAACTTGATAAAAACGAATAAGAACGCGAAATCATGAAATTTCGTCGAAAATCCGCAAGTTGAGAGACAAATCGGAAAAGTTTAGAAAAAAAGCAAAATCCAATGGACGAGAGAGTGGTGGTGAATTGGAGGTGACAGACGGCGAGAGGGAGGGGAAATACGGTGAATCGCGGGTCTCGACACGACCACATGCGCCTTGAAACTGGCAAGTAGAAGTCGGCCTAAATTTTACCACTCTTTTTTCACTTTTTTGTGCGAAACTCTCCGGATTAGCATTTTTTTCGCATCGAGTCGATCCGAGTCAAGCCAATCCGGCGAATTTTTTTCAAACAACCTCATAACCTGCTTTATACTGAATTCTAACGACTCTAACCTCAAATTCCTTTTTTCAGGTAATAATATTTGAGCTATGAGACTCAACTTCGCCTACCCAGCCACCGGGCTCCAGAAGTCATTCGAGGTCGATGAGGAGAAGAAGCTCCGCGTCTTCTTCGAGAAGCGCATGTCCCAAGAAGTCGCCATCGACTCTCTCGGAGACGAGTGGAAGGTTAGTGAGCCACCGAAAACACAGAAACGAAGCGATGTTTCTGTGTCATTTCCCCATTGTTTCATGTGCTTTTTCTTAATTGAAATGGTCGTGGAGATACATTGGGAGTCCACTTCTCAGTTTGAACCGATTCCAGGCTCTTCCTAAACGAGCCATTTTCAGGGATACGTCGTCAGAATCGGAGGAGGAAACGATAAACAAGGATTCCCAATGAAGCAAGGAATTCTCACCAACGGACGTGTCCGTCTTCTTTTGAAGAAGGGACAATCTTGCTACCGTGAGCGTAAGAACGGAGAGCGCAAGAGAAAGTCCGTCCGTGGATGCATCGTCGATGCTAACATGTCCGCTCTTTCCCTTGTCATCGTCAAGAAGGGAGATGCTGAGATCGAGGGACTCACCGACTCCGTTCTTCCACGCAAGCTCGGACCAAAAAGAGCCTCCAAGATCCGCAAGCTCTTCAACTTGACCAAGCACGACGATGTCACCAAGTACGTCATCACCCACGAGAAGACCTTCCCAGACGGTAAGTGCATACTGAAATCCCAATAGTCGATTGCAAATCATTCTTTTTAGGTGTCGTCAAGACCATCGCTCCAAAGATCCAACGTCTCATCACCCCAGCCCGTATCGCCAGAAAGAAGTACCTTCTCCGCCAAAAGCGCACCCAGAAGGAAAAGGTCCGTGAGGAGGCTGCCGCTTACCACAAACTTCTCGCCAAGTACGCCAAGGAGGAGCACGATGCCAAAATCGCCCGCAGACGCTCTTCGGCTTCCCACCACTCCGAGTCTGAGGTCAAGAAGACCGGAAAGAAGTAAACACATCATTGTTGTTTTATTCCAATAAATTGTTGTTACTAAAATCTGTTCTTGAAAGTGGTGCAAGGTTAAGAGTGTTCGGGACTATAGAAAATCAGGTGTTGTCGTAGTTATCATCCTGGTGCCTCATGTTTGCAGATTCTGTAGAAAAATCAAGCGTTTTGCATCGGTCTCCAATGCCAAATTGATGTCGAAACCTTGTTTCAGATACACTTAAAAATAGACGTGAAAGTTCATTCTTCATGACAGGTATGTTTTAAATTAAATAGATGGACAGATAAAATATGATCGAAAAAATTAATGAGTATCTTGACAGATCCGGGAAGCACTTGATATAAATTTCACCGAGAAATAACCCCTATTCCATAACTTCGATTCCTTGAGCTTGAACTTCTTCAACTCGGTTTCTTTTGATTTCTGGTTCATCGTCGACCTTAGTCGACTGCTCTTCGACCTTTCTCTTTCTACGATCCTCATCCTCTTTCTTGTTCTCCTCCTCTGATTTCTTCTCTTCATCTTCTTCCTTATCAACGGGCTTCTTCATTTCTCTAACAATTTCAAATTGATCTCCCTTGAAATTCGAATTTTTGCAAACGAAAACCTTCACACCAAAGTCTTGCATGAAGTCGTCACACGCCAGAATCGATCCATCCATAATGCTGAGCTCCGCGAGTTTCTTCGACATCAAAGGATCCGTCTCACCATCGGAACTCAGAACAATACTGTTAGTGTTGCTTTCGATGGCGTCCGGTGCCAACATATTCAGCTCCTGCTTCAAAACCTTCTCGCAAAGACCGCTAAGCGTCATTTCAGCCAAATTGACATAGAGGAACACTTCCTTCGTATCTGAGCATACGTAGCAACGGGGATTTGGCTTGTTCATATTCGCAAACATGAATACTTGTCCACGCGTTGTTGGCTTGGCCACGATGACCGAATTCTTCACTTCGTCCTCGCGTCCTTCGATAATCTTCACAGCTTCTGTCACAATCATTCCAGCGACGATGGCGTTTGTAGAAGCGATTGCAGGGATGATGTTTCCAGCCATAGCCTGAAATATTAACAAATTTGAAAGTTTGAAATTTACTGTTAGGTAGATTACCTTAATCTCAAATGCCGACTTTGTAGGAATATTGAAAATATGTGCTCTGACATTAGCACATGCTGCCACAAAAGACATAATAATCGGATGATCCTTATCAAATGACAATGGCTCATCTGGATTCGCATTGGCCTCTTTTTTAAGCTCCTGAATACATGCTTCAAACATCTTGACACACGTGGCAATGCTCCAGACGGAGGTTTGATTCTTCTGGGATTCGGAGAATGGCAAAGAATCACCGAGTTTCAATGCATCAGAGAATGAGAGAGGAGTTGGTGGTTTTCTTGTCTTCCAGAGATGATTTATTTTGAGGAGATAGTGAATGTCCTGGACGAATAGCTTGTTGAAGATTTGCTCAGCGTCGAAATTCACACCTTCCGCCCACTGTCGTGTTCCAATTGGAACTGATTCTTTGGCGGCTTCGTCATCTTGAGAATCCGCTTCTGGATGCTCAGCTTCTTCGGCTTTCAAGTCAGGAGACACATCATCGTCAATGTCCACTTCGCCGAAGAGTTGACTGAAATAAATATAGAAATTGGTTACTGTACTTCAAAATTCGTATAGAAATATAAAACCTGTATTAAAAGAGCCGCCCCTTCTATTGTTCCAACGTACCTCCGGAGGGCCCTTCAATTAGAGGGGGCTCTTCTTCTCTTCTATATTTCCGGCCTATTTTTCCAGAAACGTACGGAAATTTTCAATTTAAAACAAAACATTTTGAAGGAGGCTCTTCTATTAAAGGGAGCCTTCTAATACAGGCTTTACGGTAATTTTGGAAAATTACTCGACATTTTCGAATTTGACGCCATTTTCCGGATAGCCTAGTGAAGAAAAAACAAGGTGATTCAGCCTAAGTGTATAACTTTGAACAAAAAATCTGAAAAATTTCCAGCCAAAAAAGTACTGAAGTTCGTGAAATTCAGTGAAAGTTTCATGTTTTTCACTGAAAAAACAGAAAAATTAAACAAAACTTAGTGAAAAAAGTGAGAAATTGGGAATTTCAGCACTTTATTGACTGAATATCTAAATCATTGCCTTAGACTGAAACGACTTGTCCCCCCCCCATAATGACACCCGAATTTTGGCGCCAAATCAAAAAATTTGAATTACTTCTGTTTTTCAAAACCTCACCTGAAGACGTGCTTCGCCCACACCGTGCAATGAATATGTTCAGACGGCGTGTTCCGAATCGTGCATCCAGGGAACGTCTTCTGCTTCGGCTTCTCCTGACACTCATAGCACTCAGTCTTGTCCTTCAAAATGACCTGAACCTGTCCGAAGAATCCTGCCGATCCCGATTCGACGAGTGGAGTACGCGCAGAGTGGCACATACGATTCACATGATTTCTGGCTTCTGAAATTTGAATTGTTCAGTTTTTTGAAGAAAAATTATTTAAAAATTACGTTTGTTATCCAGCGCATTGAGAACGATGTCGAAATTTCCATAAAAAGCAATATTGAATCGCTCCTCAAAGATGCTGCTATGATCGAATGTTAGATTGATATCTGGGTTGAATTTCTTGATAACTCGAGTTGCAATTTCAGCTTTTGAGCTGGAGACGTGCTCTTTTCGGAACAAAAATTGACGATTCAAGTTGGAGACGTCGATAGTGTCGAGATCAATCTGAAAAATATTGAATTATTGATTGAAAATGGCTAGAATTCGACTCACGACGTGCACATGTTTGAAGCCAGTAGCTGCCAAATTTTTCAGCAATTCACAGCCGATTCCACCCGCGCCAACAACCTGAAATTTGAATTTTTCTTATTTTCTCTGAAAATTAAATGATAACTCACCAAAACTTTAGTGGTCTGAATTTTCTTATGATCTTCTGTCCAGCACGGCATTTTTGAGCAGGTTTTACTGAAAAAATGGGGATTTTGAGCTGAAAATCAGATAGAAGGGAAGGAAGAAAAATTAATTCGAAGGATTTCGAAACATAACTTTAGGCTAAAATCAATAATTTCGCGCGCGGGAATTTGAAAACTCGAAATCAATAAAATCAAAAACTCGAGGTTTTGTCCTACTTTTCTTAAAATTTTATATGAAAAGCTCAAATTCTTCATTCCTTTTTTAATTTTTAACTGAGTTTATAGTTAGAACAAGAAAAAAAGCTGAAACGAAAATAAAACATTATTCGAAATTGGGCCAAAATCCGCAATTTGTGCGATTTCGCGTCGCGGTGTTTACAGAATTTCCCCGACCGTAGTTCTTTCAAATATTTTTTTTCATCGAATTTTCATCGAATTTCAACCAATTTTCATTCTTTTTTCAAATTTTCAACATTTTTCTTTGAAAAAACTTGATTTCAACGATTTTTATTACTTTTTTTTGATTTTGCGACAAGAAAAATTGGGGGAAAAATAGACAAAGGCGGGGAGGGAAGCGAAAAAAAAAATACTAATTTTGACAAAAAAAAAGAAAAAAAGGAAAAATGATTATTGAGCACTGGCTGGGACAGCTTGCACCGGTTGTTGAGTAGTAGCTGGAACTGGCTTTCGGTCGATTTCCTCACGGCACATTGGACATTTTTTGTTGATATCGAGCCATTTGTAGATGCATTCCGGATGGAAGAGGTGATTGCAAGGCAGTTTTCGTATGCTCTGAAAATTTGAGGATAAAAAAGCAAAATCTAGCCCAACAATGTATCCTACCTCTCCAGCTTCAAAATTGTTCAGACATACTGTACACGTGTCATCCTCCTCTTCTCCTTCCTTCTTGGCATACTTTGTCTCGTTGGTGTACTTATCGATATCCGTCTGAGATGCTCCAATAGGCACGTCGATTTCCAATCCAGCAAACATATGATGTCTATCCAACCCCAAACGATCCATTGATGGGAACAAATAGTGATAGCTGGGGTGTCGGAAGTAATCCATGTAGTCCGGCATTCCAGTAGGTGCCTTAAAATTTTCAAAATTGAAGATTTTCCCAAAAATCTCTTCTTTATAACTTACAAAGCTGGCTCTAGTAAGTGAATACAAGCTCGGCGGGAAGCCAGGAGGTGTAGGTTGACTTGGCCGAACCGCCACCGGCGCATGAATCGTTGGTGGCGGTGGAGGAGCCTGTGCTGGTGGTGTAGGCGTGACAGGAGTGTAGGCGGCGTAGCCCATCACCGGGACCTGTACCGCCGGATACGTTGGAATCGGGAATAGAACTGCTGTATTGTAAGAAGTACGGAGGAATGCTCCAGGAGCAACTGTAGGGGACACAGCATTTGGTCCAGTTGGTGGGGGACATGAGCTAGGATCGAAATGGTTCATGGCATTGTTAATAATTTGTTGATAGTGCGGACATCTATAATTACAGACGTGTCCTCCAGGTACCATTCCGTCGACAGTCTGAATATGATTCTCCAGTTGAAGACGTATCGTCTCAGCGTGATGAATTCGTTCACGACGTTCTCGACGTGCTTGGCGGTAAGCAGGACTATCACGTTCTCGCCGTCGATGACCTGCTGATCGGAATTGTCGAATATGGGGATTATTCGGGAATTCTGATGAGGATGATGATGGTTGTTGTTGATCAGTAGAAGTCGATGGCAGATGCTGTGGTCTCGCAGGTGCCATCGTTTCAGTTGTGTTGATCCCGATTGATTCCTTGATTATAACAGGTCGAGGCTCGTCATCGGAAGGCTGGAATTGAGAAATTCAATTTTTCGATAATTCAATGTTTCTATACTGGGATCTGTGGACACTTCTGAGAGTCTCAAATATCCTTAGGATGAATTTCGACTTTCAATTCTAGCTACCGTATTCCCTCTAACAGAAGCCCATTGAAAGATTTTACTTTGAGCTCAAATATCGCGATCTTTGTGAAAGATGTTGAAAATTTGTTAGCTAATAAAATGTTGGTGATATTATGATAAATATTTTATCAGTTGACAATTTTTTTTATATCTTTTGAAGAAAGCGAGATGATTGAGCTCGAAGTTGATGGTTTGGGTGGGCAAATCTAATATTATAGAACGTCACCCCAGATTTACACTTTGAGCTCAATTATCTCGGTTGGTATAAGAGATACTGAAAAGTGGTCAACTGACAAAACGCGTATCATAACGTCATCAATATTTTATCCGTAAATCACTTTTCGATATCTTTCATATGAACCGGGATAATTGAGCTCATAGTGATGGTTTCAGAGGAAATACGGTAATTCCCTTCATATTCCTAAACTACGATTTTCCCCAATCCATTAGAACCCGCAATTCCCTAAAACCGATCTCTATCTTTTTAAATACGCTTAATCCTCCCATCGAAAGCTCGCTCTATCGTTCGCGGTCATCTTTACGACAACGACGAAATTCCGAAAAACCATTTGAAAACCACGACCTTCCCGCCGCTATAAACCCCCCTTCTTCTTCTTCGTCCCCACCATTCTACTGCTTTTCTGTCGTCGTCGTTTCCATTCATCCATTCTAGTAAAGAAAAAAAGGAGAGATAGTGTGTGGGTTGAAGAGACGCAGAGAGACACTTCAACGACGACGACGACGATTCTAATCGGCGTTGTGAATGTGGATGGTGGGGAAGGGAAGGAAAAAACGAAGAAGACGAAGAAGAAATCGGAAAAGACCGCTTTTCTCCTCTCCTTGAAGAACAGCTGTTCTAAGGGGAATTGTAAGAAAGAAAGTTCTGGAAATGAACTATCTGAAACTATAGAGTGCATAATGAATATTCATGAGAGCCAAGAGCTTCTGAATATACCGGAAATTGCTCTTTTTGGTGCTCTATCTGTCCGAAAAGGCCAAAATGATGTGGCAGCATTTGGAAAAGGTTCTAGTTTTCAGCTGGCCTTTTTTGATATTTCAGAAAAACCTAACTTGATATTTATCATGTTATTTTCTTTCGTGTGAGTCCTCTAAGCCTCTAAGCCCTTCATAATCCCAGAAGACGTCAAATAGAATAAATCTATTCCACGTGGATTTTTTTGGGTTTTCGGAGCTCATCTGGTCACGAGGGTTCAGCATAGCTGTCAATTCTACCGTATCTCTGTCTACATACAGAAGGATCTACAGTATCCCAAGAACTCTAACGTGAATCAGATCACTTTTGGAATATCTACAGTATCCTAGAGGTTTCAGACAGCAATCTGTCAGGATTCTCCTTTTAGATCTCATCTGATCAACAGGTTCCAGGAAGCACAACTGCCAGTTCTATCGTAACTTTTGTCGAGCTACAGTAACCCTCTCAAACTACAGTACCCCGAGTGACTGTCTTACCTCTCTCCGTACCCGCTTCGTCGCTGAAATTCCACTATCATAAAAGTTTGGCCCTTGTTGTTCTACTGTAATTGGCTCATCACTATCCGTCTGTTGCCCAATATTCCTCCTTGGATACATTGTTTCTTCCCGTTGTCGCTTCCGATCTCTAGCCTGAGCTACCGTATTGATGAGCGACGCGATCACCGGATTCTCGGTTGCCGGTCGTCGTGGGACCATTTGAAGCTGAAAATCGATTAGTCTTGTTGTTGACATCATCGATGAATAATGGTGTGACAAATTGCTAGAGGAGGGTGTGGGGGCGAAATTCGATATTCGTGAAAAGCAGATGTTTTCTAGAATACTTCGTTTCTCTCATATCATACTCTAGGACATATGACCTACAAGGATTACTGTAACTGACTCACTCTCATTGTCGGATGCTCCCTTGGCGGTGGCCGATCGTAGGGATGATCCTGCGGTTGAGGGCTCAGACAGTATGAACCTGAAGGCACTTGTCTTCTGATTATTTCTCGAATACATTCTGGCGTCTCTTCAGATGATGACGTTGACGACGATTGTTGTGGATCACATTGCTCAATAACAGAGGCAGTGGACATGATGTCTCACCTCCAAGTTATCTGGAAAGAGACAGAATTAATGAAAGAGAGGACTACGGTAGTTCAAGATTGAACGATAGCTCAGCTGTGGCCTGGAATTAATAGTTCAAGCCCCAGCTGTCAACAAGGCCACGACACTGGTGACAGGTGTCGGGGGGAACTATTATTTGGCGGGGGCTGTTTAATTATACTGTATATACTTATATACCTAGGATTATACATACATTTTTGGGGTTATCTGTACCAAAAGAAAAAATGTGGTGCGTGTGTATGTGGCCATGACACAAATACAAAATCAATCGATTCATTTAGAGGGGACAGATAGAAAGAGCGGGGTTTGTAACCAGTTTCGTCTGATGCAATGTGATAAGGAAGAAAGTGATAGAAATGGGGTCTCGACACGAAAATCGATTTTTCTCGTTTGTGTCATATGACTAAGCCTCTTGTGAGGAAAGAGGCTGAAAAACAGAAGCTAGGGGGATTTGGGTGATTCTGGGGCCAGGTTGAAGAAGCTCGGGCCAGGTTAAAGGACTAGAAGGACCTTTTTTAATCCAAAAAAGGGCTTTTTAACTGAAAAAAAGAGAAAAATAAGAGGAATTCTTTCCCAACCAACAGCACTCGGCGTTTTCAATGTGTATCTGGGGGGAAAAGAAGGGAGAAAACGACGACGGAGGACAGCCAGCCCAGCAGCGCCGTGGCGTTGGGGGAGGGGTGTCTGGCACTCTCCATTTCTCATCATACGATAAAGGGATCTCTCGTCGCTCTCCTATTTTCACATACTCTCTCCTTTCCCTATTGAAAGTGTATTGATTGACACAGGACCGGCGGAGAAGGGAGAGAAGGATCTCTGCGTCTCTTGTGGCTTAACAAAGCTGAGCACACACACTCACTCCACTGGGAGTATAGGGAGAAGAAGAGAAGAGGAAGGAAATTGTTGGTCAAGAAGAAGAAGAAGGGAATAGGACACGAAAAAATACGTGAAGCACAGGGACCCAGTTATTCTCACTTCGAAGCGAAATGGCGACGACTTCAGCTTTCAAATGGCCATGGCAATACGATTTTCCGCCGTTTTTTACGTAAGTGTTTACCTACTTTTTGATTGAAAATTGATTGTTTTTACTACTGATGATAGTAATGATGATATCAAATTTCATTTGATTCACTATCAATCATTATGTATCGATTTGACAAACAAAAGGGGACAGAAGAGAAATCTATTGAAAATAAGAAAGAAATCCAACTAGCAGCTGTTCTGCACTTTTTGAAAAGTGCAGATTAGTGTTCGAAAGGGCTTCGAGAAGACTGAAATGAGATTCCCATGGTCTAGGAGGGACGTCAGATCTCTCCGCTGTAGAGTCTACGGTGTCAGAATTCTGATCCGAGATAGTTCTAAAAGTCCAGATAATCCGAAAAAGAGCAAAAATATAATTTTGACAAGTACAAAATGAGGTGTCGAAGTCTAGAAGGCGTCAGAAAAATTTGGATTCAAATTCGAAGATGATTTTGATGGAAATAGAAAAAAAACGGAAATTTTTGAAAATTTGAAATTCTGATTCGGAAAGTCTGAAAATTTTAAGTTCGTGTTCTGAAAATTGGAAACTCTGGAAGTCTGATTTTTCGAATTCTCGAAAAACACACTTCTGAAGTCCAGACTCTTTCGAAATCAATGAATCAGAGTTCCCACGGCCTTCAATGTACCTTGTAAAATTCAGGAGTCCAGGAATTTAAAAAACTAAAAAATTAGAAGTTCAAGAATCCTTCTTCAGCTTCAGAAAATTAGTAATTCAAAATTTCCGAAATTCAGAAATTCAGGAATTCAGTAATCCAGAAAATTGGAAAATCAGAAATTCAAGGATCCAGAAATTCAGGAAATTAAAAATTCAAAAAATTACAATTTCAAGAATCCATAAGTTCAGAAAACTAGAAAATTCATTCATTCAAATTATCATGAATCCACAAATTCAGCAATTCCGAATTTCTAAATTACAAAATTCCTGTTTTTTTCCAGAATCCAAAAATCGCTGAACACAAAAGACAAGCAACTGGAAGCATGGGCTCGTTTGGTCATCGACTACGCTCAACACAACAAAATCTACTCGTTGGACATTGCCGAAGCGACGACTAGTGAACTATTCAATAATCAGAAACTCAATCGTGAGTTTGAAGCTTCCTGGGTTACGGTAGATACTCTAACGTCACCCAAAATTTAAGCTCAATTATCTCAATTTCCATAAGAGATATGAAGAAGCTGTCAACTAATAAAATGTAGCAGATAACATCACAAACATTTTATCAGTTGACAGATTCTTGATAGCTCTTATAGCAACCGAGATAATTGGGCTCAAATTAAACCATTGAAAATCCAAAATTTCCAAAAAAATCAATTTTATTCAGGCCGCCTCTCCACGGATGGTGTCAACACAGTTCTACAGTATCTGGAGCAGAAAAGTGAGCATTTTTTTGAATTTTAGGGGAAAATGTAGCTCTTATCTCACTTTTTTCTGCTCTCGAATTTCACGTGAATTTTTTTCTCTTGATTTTTTTTGCTCGCCGCAAATATTTGCCCCAGAGAGAGGGACGAGAGGAGGAGCAGCGACCAACAAACAAGAGAGGCGTTTATTGATTTTCAGTGCGAGGGGAAAAAGCAAAAAAAAATTTTGAGGGGATTTTGAGAGGGAAACTGAGGAAAACTACACTGTTTTGTGAGGAATAACTCATGAATTTCGAAATCTTGAGACGCCGAAATTAATGAAACATTGACAAACTAATGGGGGTACGACGAATTCGAACGCTTCCAAAATCGAACAGACCTAAAATCGAACATGTGTCAAAACAGAACAAGAGCAGAATCGAACTGTGCGAAATTCGAACTCTGTCGGAGTCGAACTGTCCCTAATTGGAACGCTGTTAGCCATGGGGCGCGCTTGCATTATTTTTGTTTTCTCATTTTTTCCCCGCAAATTTTTATTTTTTCCTTAAAAAAAAGATTTTTGTTGTTTTTGTTTCCAATAAAACTGATTCGTATAGGTATATTTTTTAAGTTTTCTCAAGAAAAAAGTCACTAATTTAAGGAAAAATGCAAGCGCGCCCCATGGCTAACAGCGTTCCAATTAGGGACAGTTCGACTCCGACACAGTTCGAATTTCGCGCAGTTCGATTCTGCTCTTGTTCTGTTTTGACACATGTTCGATTTTTGGTCTGTTCGATTTTGGAAGCGTTCGAATTCGTCGTACCCCCAAACTAATTTTTCAAAAAAAATATTTTTGAACCTAAAATGCATTTTTTTTTTGGCTCTAAAATACTCCATTTTCAGAAATATCTGTGATTTTTTCTTTTGGCTGAAAATTAGCTACAAATGCGAGAAAAAATGGAAAATGTTTGAGCTAGAAAAAATGATCTGGAAATCAGGAATTTTCGGGAAATTTGAAAAAAAAAACGTACCTTTTGACTAAAATAATATTACAACAATTGAATTAAAATGGACTGATTTTGAGCTAGAAAAGTGAAAAAAAACAGGAAAAATGGTCCAGAAATCGAGAAATTAAAAAATTGGAGAACAATTTTTTGACAGAAAATTCTGCTCAAGACTCGCACGAACTTTTTGTATGAACCTTTGACATATAGTAATCCAAAAAGCTCGGATTTCGTAAAAAAAAAACATCTGAACTATTCAGAAAAAGGTCAGAATTTTCAGAATCCTGTTAATGACATCCCTGAGAATATTGAGATCTCAAACAATTTAAACCATAGTTGCAAGTGGCCGGCTGATAACTTTTCCCTATAACGAGATATTCAGACAGTTTTGGTACCAAATGATAGATCACAGCAGGGCCCATCACGCCTATATCTTTTGAGCCGGATTCCATTCCGATAACATGTCGAAAAATGTGTTTGAATGACGAGAAATCTGCTTTTTGTCAAATTGGTCGAAAACTGTCATTCAAACACATTTTTCGGCATGTTATCGGACTGGAATCCGGCTCGAATAACATAGACGTGATGGGCCCTGTCGAGATCTATCACTTGGTACCAAAACCGTCTGAATATCTCGTTTTAGAGACAAGTTATCAGCCGGCCCGGAACCTGCCGACCCGCTTGCAACTATGGCTAAAACTGTTTTTTTTTATTCAGAACTCCTTTTTTTTCAACCAGAAACTCAAAAAATTCCAATTTCAGAACTAATCGAATTCACCGACAACGGCCGAACTCGTTTCCACATCTTCTGGCGTCGTCCCGATGTTTGGGCGAATATGATTTATCAATGGGCAGTGGAGAATGCGTTCCTGAATACACCATTGACACTTTATGAGATCACACATGGAGATGACACAACTAATGAGTGTGAGTTGGAGAATCTAGTCTAAAAGATCCAGAAATTTATTTTTGAGAGAATTCGAAAATCTAAAAAAAATCGCAAAATTCAACATTTTCAAATATCTCAAGTTGAAGAAAAAATTCAAGGAATTGTGAGGTTTATGAGGTTTTGAGGTGAAAAAAAAAATCTCAGAAATTTTCAAAAATTCCAAAAATTGTCCCCAAAAAATTCAGAAATTCCTTGAAAATCTAAAATTCCTAATTTTCAGCATTCCACAACCTGGAGCGTGAAATTCTGATGAAGGCGTTGACGTGTCTTGAAGACCAACGACGAGCCCAATTGATGAATATCGGTGGAGACAACGAAGGCGTCAAATTTGTCTGATTCTCTAAATCTCTTCTCGCTTTATAGAATTATATTTATTGCCTCTCTTTTCCTATAGCATTTCCAGTACATAAAGCTTGCCAAATTTCGATTTTCCTCTTCTTTTTGACTTTCAGTTTTTTGTGACTTTCAGGACTTGCTCTACCTCTTTTTTTTACTGATTTTTCCTGAATTACAACCTGCAATTTTGACTATTTCATCAGAAAAATGACGTTGGCACCAACGGAACCGTCATTCTTGACGTACAACGATCGAATTCAAGAAGGGGATACTGTAATTGTGTATGTGACATATGGACAAATGGTGCCAACAGTTGTCAAGAGAGGACAGACACTCATGATGAAATATGGAGCCCTGAGACATGAATTCATTATTGGAAAGAAGTAAGAATCAGGCTGTGGAAGAGGAAAGCCAGTGGCCGTGGCCGAAGGTCCCAAAACTACAATAACCTAAAAATTTTGCGATTTTTTGCAACTTTTCGAGAGAAAATCCCATTTTTTATTCGATTGTTTGCAAGATTTTAGACCTTTTTCAGATTTTCCAGCTATCTTTGAAGATTTTTTTTTCAAATTTTCCGAATAGTTTTGTCTGAAATTTGGTGTTCTCGCTAGAAAGATTACTGTAAATTACTGTAGAAAATCTTGTAGTTTGTAGTTTTTCTTCAGCAAACAAAATCACGTAATAATGCTACAAACTACAAAACTACACAATATTTTTCTACAGTAATCCAAACACCGTTCCATCAAATTTCAGACAACATAAACTGGAAAAAAAACGGAAACGAATCTTTGAAAATAGCTGAAAACCATAAAAAGGTCTAAAAATTTCGCGAAATTCGAAGAAAAAACAAGATTCGTTCTCGAAAAATCGCAAAATTGTCAGGTTACGGTAGGTGTCGTTGTGGGACGCGACCTTTTTTGAACCAGAATAATAGAGTAGACCTTGAAAATTAGACCCAAAGGTACAGTAATCCAACAAACAAATTTCAGACTACACTTGGACTTTTAGGCGATATTTTTGAACCAGAATAGTGAAATCCTTCTAAAAATCTCCTAAAAACCGAATTTTCTCTTCCAGATGGGGACAACGTCTGTCAGCTACAGCCGGCTACGTCTACATTCTTCGTCCATCATCAGATCTGTGGACCCGCTCGTTGCCACGTCGAACTCAGATTCTCTACACAGCGGATTGCGCTCAAATTCTGTCGCTATTGGATGCGAAACCCGGATCGGTAAGAGAAAAATAATTCAGCGATTTTTCGGAATTTCGGAGTATTTCGATTTTAAAAATTTCTGAATTTCAGGAAAAAAATGCGGAAAATTGGCGAAAAAAAATTTAAAATTGACCTGAAAATCCCAGAAAAATCCCTAATTTTGACACTAAAATTAATCCCTTCTTCTAGGTAATCTGCGAATCGGGCACTGGAAGTGGATCATTATCTCATGCGATCGCTTTGACTGTGGCACCAAATGGACATTTATATACACATGATATTGATGAGACGAGAACCAGCAAGGTTTTGGAGGAATTCAAGACCCATGGTCTCTCATCTGTCACCACTGCCGTCGTCCGCAACGTCTGCACATCTGGATTCCACGTGGAGAACGATGCCGACGGTGTCTTCCTGGACGTCCCAGCTCCTTGGGAAGCGATTCCATTCGCCGCCAAATCGATCTCTCGGAAACGCGGCGGTCGTTTAGTGTCGTTCAGTCCGTGTCTGGAACAAGTGCAAAGAGCCTGTTTGGCGATGTCGGCAGCTGGTTTCATATCGATTGAAACGATTGAGCTGGTGCCGGAACAAAAGAAAATTGTGAATCAGCATCGGCAGACACTAGAGGAATTCGAGGAGATTGGGGATGCTTATCCAAAGGAGAGGAAGAGAAATGCAGAGGGAGAAGTGAAGGAGGACTCTCGTGTCTCCACAGCAATCGTCTTCCCGTACTCGCAACCAACCCATACTGGATACCTGACTCATGCCACACTTCTACCAGTTTTGGAATAATTTTTTGTTTTTGTTATTTTTGTTGATTTTTCTATTCTAATTGAAATTGTTTTTGATTCAAAATGAGGCAAAAAAAGATCCAAAGCAATCGGATAGAGATTTAAAGGGGGCGTCGAATAACAGAAAAATATGCGAAAAAAAGTGGAATTATTTAGCAGCGACACGACGCTTATTGACGCCGTAGTTGACAATATGCGACATGTTCACTTCGGTCGTCGTGATTTGATCCTTGATGTAGGCCAGCTCATTGGTCAACTCATCCACAACTTTTTGTACGGATCCACGATTCTTGTCGATGAGGGATTTGGCGTTTTCCAGGTCGTACTCGACCATCACGTTGGCACCGAGCCAGATTGATACCTGGAATTCTTAGAATTTAGGATTTTGAAAAAAAAAATTTGATTTTCCTACCGTTTCAGGTTTCTGAACCGTGGCTTTTGTGTAGACGTCATCAGAAAGAAGGAATGTCGTTTCGAATGACTCGTTGGCGGCTCTTTTGGCGATCAGGGTGTCGATAATGCTCAAACTGTTCTCGAATTCTGGAATCTTCTCGGCCATCCGCTGTTTCTGGGCGGTCATGCTCGATTCGACGTACTTGTACTTTCCGTACTTTTCGCGGAGCACCACTTCAGCTTCTTCAACCGATAACTTCTCTTTTGTCAGCCACGACTCGACGTCTTCCTGGAAAAATGATTTACTTGAAAAAAAAATTTTTTTGACACAGTTTGACTTACGATTAGTTCACTTTTCGGAATTCCACGGGCTGATAGTGTTTCTGACATGATTTTTTCTCAGAAAAGCAAAAAAAATCAGCTGAAAAGCGAGCAAGATTGATGAAAATCCGGATGGAATTAGTCTAGAAAATTCGTGTTGACGCGCACCGCAAACGCGTCAACTTGGGTATGGCGTCTTTCCGGAGAGCGCGCGAGAGAGTGTGAGAGATGAAGAGACGCAGACATCGGGATGTTCAAAATCTGAAATTTTATTTAGAAATTAATAAAAATAATCAAACATTCAAGTGGGGAAATTCGTAGGGGGG